TATATATATATATATATATACATACATATAAATTTATTTATTTTAAAGTGTGATAGAATTTACTTTGACTCCAAGGTTCAAGCTTATAGGTGTCATATTAGATATCCTATATTAAAATTAGCTAACTTGGACTCCGGTAATGCTTAAAACGACACTTAAGACCATATATGTCTAGTTCCGGGAGCAGATAGCTGAGCTGTCTGTTCTTTCTCTTTCTCTGAACGTATCTGTTATATGTACATGATGTTCATCCCTAAGTCTTATCTGTACTCCTTTCACTCCCTTCCTAGTACTGTCCTATGAGTATTTGTACATAAGCACTTACTTTTTAATGTATAAAAACACAATATAAAGGTCAAAGGCTTATTATGAATACCAACAGGTGTCTGAATTCATGCTCCTCCAAGTGCACTTGAAATAATCATAATTTGAGCTCCCTTGAATACCAAAGATCACATTGGATCTATATCAGAAGACAACCTAAGGTATTAAACATGGGGTATTTTGACTCTTCATGCAACCATTTTACCACCAATCTATGCCAAATTTAAAAAAATTGGTGGGGGGTTTTTGACACATGTAGCTATTTAACAATACATGTACTGAGAACTAAGGGTTACTGCCAAAGAACCCCCCAATATGTGTTCAGCAACATCTCCTGAGTACATCTATACCCATGTATAGAGGTGTCGGGTTCGCTGGGGGCTAAAAGACCTTATTTGGAGGGTGCGCATTCCAGTTTTCCAACTTGCAAATTTCACAGCTGGTCATCATGCACCCATGTCCTATTTGGGACATTTTTGAAGCCGGCCAATGTAATTTACCCCCATCAAACCATACATTTTTCAAAAGTAGACAGATGTGGTATTTTAACACCTTCCATGCACTAATTCTACCACCAGTCTTTGTCAAACTTTTGGGTAGTCATCGTTTTGTGGTTTGTTTGTTTTTGTTTTTGACATTGTACTTTAGGCATGGATTCTCAGTTCCTGTCATGTGTTACTGACAAAGAACACCCCAAAATGTGTTCAGCAACACCTCCTGAGTACAACAGTACTCTAAATGTACAGGTTATATGGGTTTTTGCAAACTTACAGGGGTCAAATATAGGGCTTTCCCCTTTTCCATGTTTGCACATTGAAATTTGCCAGATTGGTTTTGCTGGGCCTATGTTGCTTTTGAGACAGTATGGCAGCCCAGAAATGAAAATTAACCCCACCATGTCCTACCATTTGAAAAAGTATTCCCAGGGTATTCAAAATGGGGTATGTCCAGTCTTTTGTAGTAGCCATTTAACCACAAACGCTTGCCAAAGTTAGTGCTTTTATTTGTTTTTCGCATTTTTTTTTTTACACAAAAACTGCACTTTTACTGGTGATTTCATTGTCGTGATAAGTTTTACGATTTTAAACACTCATATTTGTGTTAAGCAAGTCTCCCGAGTATAACAATACTGGAAAGTTGGAAAGTTACGGGGTTAAATATAGGGCTTGCCAATTAAATTCTCTGGACTGTAGCCGTTCCATGTAAGTCCAGGGGTCTTTTTTGCAGCAGACATACCAGGTACCCCCCAGGTCATTAACGACCATTTTTTGTCGGACGTACCTGGTACACCCGCGGTAGGGAAGGGGTTAAATATATGAGAGTGGGTTATAGAGACAGCAATTTGTAATAGAAGTGTACCAGGCAGTCCGCAAACCCTTAGAGAGGTATTCAGTAAATAACAGCTTATGCCCAAATGAACAAAATTATGTAAAAAATTGCAATTCAATCAGTTGAAATCTGGTCGATCCAACTGAATCTGTGTCATTCGTTTGGAGGCCTTCGGTGCCCGGTTCAAAACCAGGTTGTTCTTTTTTTTTCATCTAAACCCAATACAAAGTATAGAATTCAGAATATGTACAAAGCACCAATTTTGGTGGGGTATCTAAATAAAAATGTAAAAATAGGTGTGTGGCATCCGAAGGTCCCTCCTACACCCACTTGTAGTGGGGCTATTTATTAAACAGGGAAACTAGTGTCCAGGCCCCACCCATAGGCAGCAAGTAGAGGCTGTTAACTTAACTGCATGGAACCCTATGTTTCCCTCCGACCCCACCTATAGGCGGCAGGTAGAGGCTATTTAATGATCAATAGTGGGGGGATATGCTATTATCCACCCCTACCAATGGGCTTTGGGTGGGGTTTTTAAAAGTGATGAGGGGGATGGACATGGCATTGCCCACGCCCGTCCACCCCAAAAAGTTAGGGCCCATCCACTTTCCTCACAAGATTGGTAGCAAATTTGGAAGAAGCAGTGTAAGCCTGTTTACGTAGACGTATAGTAGATGACATTTATCAAAAATACAGGGGTTGTGCTAATCTTGGGATAGGAGATGTAACTTAACTGCACACTATGCACCAATGTATTCTGACACAGCAGGTTGTGTAAAGGAAGCTCACAAAGCCACAAACGTTGCATTTTCATTTGAACTGTGACTAAACTTCTGAAATCCTGTGACCACATTCTGAATACACAGCAAACACAAAACCTGTCATTCTGTCATAAGAAATTAATGCAAAAGTTGCAGTGTTAATAGTGCAAATTAACTAAAATGTAACAGTAGGTTTGGTACTAAAAAAGATATCTGTGTTAAGGGTATTTCTGAAGAGTATCCACAGGTGTCCTAGCTCAGGCTTCCCCAAACTCCAGCCCTCCAGATGTTGATGAACTACAACTCCCATGATTCTCAGCCTATCTATTTCATTCATAGAATCATGGGAGTTGTAGTTCAGCAACATCTGGAGGGCCGGAGTTTTGGGAAGCCTGTCTTAGCCGATCCTATGGAATAAAGGAAATGGAGAATAGCTCTATTCATTCCCTATCCAATTTTGACCTCTCAAAACTGTGTAGGAATTCACCATTCCTTTTGGCCTTATCCCGGCTTATTATTTAAGTGCCACCCAGTCACAAGTTCAACTCACACCCTTGTCAGATGATTTCATCATTGAAACGGGTCAGAGACGGGTCAAGATAACGGTTCATATACAACCCAAGATTGAAGATGAATCTTAAAGTTGAGAATGAATGTGAACTAAAGTAAATGACCATTCAGATAAAATGTAATTTAAGTAGAGAATGCAAAATCCTGAACGTAAATCAGAAAAACAGGGCGCCACAATCACAAAGTCACATTCAGTCTGAAGATTCCCATTGATAGAAGGGACAATAAATGTAAAAAAAAATTCCACTTTATTGGTAATACATTAAGATAAAATAGGTAATAGCACACAAAGCTGTGCAAAATCTCAATTGAAAGGCCAAATAAGGCAAAACAGCTCTTGTGGACAGCAGCTTAAACCATACAAGTAACTGTACAGATATTAAAAAGTGCAACTGCCAAAAGAGCCAAAGTGCAAAGGATACCAAATGTCACTCCAACACAAACAACAACAGTATACTGACAGAATAAAAGACTGCTGTACCACCAATGCAGGGCTCTCGTAGCTGTTCAATGCGTTTCGTCGATTAGACTTCTTCAGGAGCTTCTGTGTTCCCCTTGGCATATTCTCCTTTTAAATCCGCCGGTCTGGGCGCCATTCATTGCCTGCGCATGCGCAGATCATGTCGGGCGCACTGCCATACAGGATTACGTGTGGTCGACCAATGTGCGCATGCGCAACCAAGCTGGAACGCAAATAGCCCAGCTGCACAAACGAGAGTAACCATATTAGGAGCGCTCCATGTTCCCACGGTCTGGGTTAACAGCCCTGCCTACTGTAGGAACTATAGACTAACATAGAAAACTAACAACAGATATTAACCCCTTAAGGACTGGACTGTTTTTGCGATGTTGTCATTTGCGACCAGGCCTCTTTTTACACTTTTCTGGTGTTTGTGTTTAGCTGTAATTTTCTGCTCTCTCATTTACTGTTCCCATACAAATTATATATTGTTTTTTTCAGGACAAAGGGGGCTTTCTTTACATACCATTATTTATATAATCTCATGTAATTTAATTTTAAAAAAATGAAAAAATATGATGAAAAATTGAAAAAAAATACATGTTTTTTGACTTTTACTTGGAAAATCTTTTACTCATCTACAAAAGCGAATGAAAAAAACTGCTAAATAGATTAAAAATTTTGTCCTGAGTTTAAAAATACCCAGTGTTTATGTGCTTTTTTGCTTTTTTTGCAAGTTATAGGGCTATAGGTACAAGTAGGATATGGCGGTTTCAAAACAAACATTTTAAAAATTTATCAGTAGTGACATTGTAACACTATTATCTGTCATAAATCTCTGGAAAACACTCCACATGTATATATTTTTTTTAAAGTAGACAACCCAGGGTATTCATCTAAGGATATTTTGACACTTTCTATGCAGCCATTTTACCACCAGTCTTTTTTTTTTTTTTCACATACATTGCAATTCAGGTATAAACTTACAGATCCTGTTATGTCTTGCTGCCAAAAAACACACTAATATATGTTCAGCAACATCTCCCGAGTACAGTGATACCACCCATGCATAGGCTTGTTGAGTTGTTTGGCAGCTAAAAGGCCACATTTGGCAGGTGCGCATATCCAGTTTCCAACTTGGAATTTTGACATGTAGTCAACCTGCGCACATGTCCTATTTGGGACATTTGCAAGGCCGGCCAATGTATTTTACCCCCACCAAACCATATATTTTTGGAAAGTAGAAACCCTACGGTATTTCAAATGCTGGTTTTTTAACACTTTCCATGCACTCATTCTACCACCAGACTTTGTCAAACATTTAGGTAGTCATTTTTTGTGTGTGTTTTTCACACACATTGTACTTTAAGCATGAATTAACAGATCATGTTATGTGTCACTGCCAAACAACACCCCAATATGTGTTCAGCAACATCTCCTGAGTAGTGATGTCCCGAACGGTTCGCCGAACAGTTCGCCATGAACGGTTCGCCACGAACGGTTCGCCACGGACTCATCATTGAGTAAACTTTGACCCTGTACCTCACAGTCAGCAGACACATTCAAGCCAATCAGCAGCAGACCCTCCCTCCCAGACCCTCCCACCTCCTGGACAGCATCCATTGTGAAGCTGTATTCTTAGTGAGCTATCCAGGAAGTGGGAGGGTCTGGGAGGGAGGGTCTGCTGCTGATTGGTCTGCTACTCCTGAGTACAGTGATACCACCCATGCATTTTGACATATAGTCAACCTGCGCACATGTCCTATTTGGGACATTTGTAAGGCCGGCCAATGTATTTTACCCCCACCAAACCATATATTTTTGGAAAGTAGAAACCCTAGGGTATTTCAAATGGTGTTTTTTTAACACTTTCCATGCACTCATTCTACCACCAGACTTTGTCAAACATTTAGGTAGTCATTTTTTGTGTGTATTTTTTCACACACATTGTACTTTAGGCATGAATTAACAGATCGTGTTATGTGTCACTGCCAAACAACATGCCAATATGTGTTCAGCAACATCTCCTGAGTACAGTGATACCACCCATGCATAGGCTTGTCAGATTGTTTGGGGGCTAAAAGACCACATTCGGCAGGAGCGCATATCCAGGGCTCGAGTCCTGCAGGAACGCATGGGAACGGCGTTCCTGCACTTTTTCCAAAGCAGGAACGCCGTTCCCATTACCTGTCCTGCAGGACCGGCCCTGCTACCTGCACTGAGGGGCCGTCACACGCTGTGTTCCCTCTCCAGCTATAACTCTCGCGAGACCCGCGGCTGTTACCATGGCAACGCTCCGCACAGGCGAGTCTCGCGAGAGTTAGAGCTGGAGAGGGAACACTGCGTGTGATGGCCCCTCTGTGCAGCGAGCGGCTGGCTCCCTCCACCCGGACCACCAGGCGATCTCCCCCCTCCCTGACAAGGTAAGAAGCAGGGAGGGGGGATAAATACAAATTATACATAAAGTAAAAAAAATGCTTCCCCCCACACACATCATCCAGCACTCACACACCCATCATCCAGCACACGCACACACATCATCCAGCACACACACACCCATCATCCAGCACTCCCTTTCACACATCATCCAGCACTCCACACACCCATCATCCAGCACTCACACACCCATCATCCAGCACTCACTCACACCCATCATCCAGCACTCACTCACCCATCATCCAGCACTCACTCACCCATCATCCAGCACTCACACACCCATCATCCAGCACTCACACACCCATCATCCAGCACTCACACACCCATCATCCAGCACACACACACACATCATCCAGCACTCACACACCCATCATTCAGCACACACA